ACTTAAAACTCTGACACAGCTTTTTCCTAGGATCCAGCTTTGGATGGAGTTTCCCATCACACGAAGTTGATTGCTCAGAAGAAATACAATCATGCTGCAATCCTTACATTGTGCTCAGTCTCAAGACAATTCAGTTATTTAACTAATGTCCTCCAGTAGCCATGGTGTGCAGCAGAGCAGGAATGACAGTTATTTCCTGCAGAGGGAGAGTGAGGCTGTGGGTGATGCCCCTGCAGCAGCAGAAAGGGTGGAATTTGGGAGATGGCGGAGTCCATGGCAGCTGGGAGGGACAGCTGGACTGCAAAACTGGGTGGACTGGAAAGAATGGAAAAAAACAGCTGCAACAGCAGAAAAATAGCAGGCAACAAACAGGATGTGAGGAGGAATTACAATAAAACAGTTGAAAGCGTGTGAGGAGCCCAGCAGGCCTAACACTGATGATGGCAGCCAGGACTGCTGGGAACGCTGCGATCCACAACACACGCTCGCAGCAGCGCACCGTGGTGAATGGATTCTGGCCTGCCACACAGGACTGCTGGAGTGCAGCAGCAGCAGGTGCCAAGGAAAAGCAAACTGCTTCTTTCTGGTAGTTTAAGAGCTACCCAGGCTTGCAGTTTTGTGTAGGCTCTGGTGGATGGCACTTAGCTGTCACTCTGGAAGTTCTGCTGTGAGAGCCCTGAGAAACACACAGAGGTACATCTGCAGCCTCGGTGTGCCACAGGCAGGGAGGCTCCCTTGTGAGAAACCAAAGCACAGGAACCTACCAGCAGTAGCTGAGACCTGGAATAACAATCTAGGGATGGGCTAGGTAGGTCTTTCCTGATTTTTTTCAAATAACATCATTAGAAATGTGTCCTTCTTGAAAACTAAGAACAAAACATAAGGACTGTAAGTACAGAAACACTGTATTAGACAAGAGCTAAAAATCAGAGTACTGAAGTATATATGGAACTGTGACAGTCCTGAACGGGTACAGAAAGCTCCAGCAATCAAACAGCTCAGAAGACAGAATGGATTTGGAAGGAAGAAGGAAAGGGTGGGATCAACAGATAGAGAGCAGCTGCAACACGAAGATGGAAATTACGGACTTAGATGTGTCAAACAGCATGGGAATAGACAGAAGCAAGTAGAATAGAAAAAGGGCATTGCAGAGATATGGAATGGGTAAGTACAGGAGAGGGAGATTTGAAAATCTTAACCCCCATCTGAGAAGCGCACATCAGAACATAAATTTATGTTTCAGCTTTTTTTTTTTCCTGTCAGTTGAAAACTAATGAAACCTAGGAAGGCAATTAGCTTTAGGTAGATCACAGGGCATCTGTAATATTCCTTTGTGCCATCACTCCGTCACAGTGATGAAACATGATTTATGTGAAACATTTGCTGGAGAAAAGCCATCAACATTAATAACATTATATAAACAGGAGAAAACAGCAGCTCCTGTGGCCTCCCTTCGCTTCCTGTGCTAAGCAGCTCGGTAGCTGCAAAGGAGTTTTTTTGAGCAATGTTGATTGTAATTCACAAATTGAGTTTTTTACCTTGAGTTCACAGCTGGTGTTTAGTTCTTTTTCACTGTATTTGCATTCCAATAAACAGTCATTAATCCCCGTTTCCTTATCGGGAGCTGTTCTAATTAGGTTGTTCTAAAAGTTGAGTTAATCAATAGAGTTAATTCTTTGCATTTATAAACAACAGGAAGTTTTCTATTGTAAAAACAGTTTCTTTTTTATGGTCTCTTGGCTTATCACTTCTTAAATGTCAGCTTAAACTCAGTGCCACTGGTATGTCATGATAAACAGCACTTACAGAAACAATCCTACTGAAGTTGGTGTGGCTAGTCATTTGATTATACAGCAAGAATTAATATGGGCAGAAATGAAAAGTACGAGCTTCTTCATTTGTCTAAAAAATACTAAATAAGACTACAGATAGATAAGTAAGTTCCTGTTTTCTTTTCAATAGGTAGTGAATACACTGAACTGCATTTTCCTTTGTAGTTTACCTCACAATCCCCTGCCATCCCTTACTGTAAGGGATGTAAATAAGCACTACAGTGAACAGTTTTCTGAGCAGGTCTCAATTTCTGTAAAAGACTCTCACATTACAATAAACCACTACAGATAAACAGGGAGAACTCTGAACTTGCAGACAGCAGCCAGCCCCACTAGTACTTTGTCATTCTGCTGGCATAGCCAAGCTTCCTTTTCCTGTTTCACTAACAGGAACAGGGCACATGCCATTACTAATGGAAATGGCTGAGACACAGCCCCAAGGGCTGTGGTCCTTGGTCTCTTTGGTCTGGGCACCACAAGACACATAAAATACCCTGGCACAGCAGGCCTCATTGAGAATTTTGCTAGCTCTCCCCAAGCTTGCAAAGATGAGAAGTCACAATGTCCCAATGTCTGTGCTGTCCTGGGATTTTGGTCATGAGGCAAATGGTAGGCACTTACTCTATGACCATGTATTTCAGTTGTGGTTCTAATCATGGTGTCTTTGTTTACAATATTGTTCTTAGACTTCAGCTGCATAAAATGTGCTCCCAAACAAGTCTACAACTTTTTTTTTTTTAAGAATCATTAAAGCTGCAACTAAGCATAAAAGAAAATTATGCCATCAATTCAGATTTCCCCTAAATTCACCTAACTTTTCTCCTAATGAATATAGGATGTCGTTACTTTGCTGTGCTTTTGCATGGACTAAGTTCTCTTGCTGCATCACTTCACTGAGTGTAGGCATCTACCTTCCCACAAAGGGACAATCTTGTGTTTTACATACCCAACTAGGCCGAGCAATTTCCCACACAAAACTCTAAAAATACTATTATGCTTACACTAGTCAGAAGTTCTACAGAAATGAGATCTGTACAAGCAATAACATAGAGATTACTTCCACTAGGGCTAACTGAGCTTAATGACCACCTGAAATCTATTCTCAGTTCTGTGTATGAGAGTAGTTGATATTTCTGGTTTGGCAGTGCAGACTACATGGCTGATGATGGAGGGAGTATGGAAAGTAACCACCTTGATGCAGCACTTTTTTCACAAAGTTGCAAAGTTATTGAGTTTATTGTTACACTTATTTCATTCTCCCCCATCTTTAATGACAAAGGAATTAAAACCCCTCAACATGCTTGCTATACTGCGTGTAACCAACACATTACTACCATCGGTCTTCATAAAAGCTATATACAAAATGTATGTCTTACCTCCCAAAATTCAGTCACCTTTAACTGACTACTCACAATACACAAACTTCAGACAGGGAAAAGTACCACTTTCCATTGGTCTTGACCCTCAAAAACACCCCATGCAAGTTTTACTCCTACTTGGCTTAAGCATACGTTTCCTTTTTGCTTGGATACATCGGGCACAGATAAAGACATGGAAACAAAAAGCACGGTGGAGAGCAAACCTGATCTGCTACCACAATTCTTATGCTCCTATACTTACACCTGGCATCAAGCAAGCCCCAAAATTTTCTTTCCCCGGGCAAAAAACACATCTGGATAAATCCATCAGTCCATGCTTAAAGCAGTAAATAACAGCAATAGAAGAGGGATGAAAAAGACTATTTGGGGGAACGAAACTGTGTGAAAAAACCCCAGTCCCAAACACGTGAAAGGGAATTACTGCAAGGAGTGTTGTCCCTGGATGGCAGTGACTGCTGTCAGCCGGTTTTGGTGTTACACTCTGAACGGCAACCCCAAAGCCCGCGTTTCTCCTCTCCTGTCCGTACCTGGGACCTGCGCTCAACGGAGCAGCTTTTTTACCTTGTGCCGGGACAGGTCACGGACTGGAGCAATTTCATTAGTTTTGCCGTTTCGTACGCTTTTAATGCACTACTGCCGGCTGCGAGCATTTAAAACAACACCGGACAAACAAAAGCCTCGACACCGGCCGAGAAACTCCAAGTTTTCCCTTCCTGCCCTCCGGACTTGCGGCGCTGCGGTCGCGCCGGGGACTCTCCGGAGGGCCGAAAGCTGCTCCCGGAGAAGAGTTCTGCGGCCCCTGTGAGGCGGGAATGCCCAAATGATCGTGGGAACGCTCCCAGGATCGCGGGAATGACCGCGGAGCAGCCAGAACGACACCGCCGGGCAGGACGCACAGCCTCCCCTCACCTCGCCTCGCCTCGCCCGGCACAGACTACACTTCCCGTGAGGCCGCGCGGCAGAGCGCGGGCCGCGGGTGCGTCAGCGGCGCGAGCAGCCAATCGCGGCGCGGCCGCGGCGAGCGCCGTCCGCCGCCAATGTTGTTTTCGCTGAGTCGAGGCGCTGGTGTTGTTGGCGGCGGCGCCATATTGGAAGGGACGAGCGCCCGCTCTCGAGCAGCCCCTGGGCGCGGGCCCGGCCGCCGCCATGCTGTACCTGGAGGACTATCTGGAGAGTGAGTGTGTGCGCGGCGGGGGCGCCGGGCGGCCGGGCACGGCCGGTGCGGGGGAGCCGGGGGAAGCCGCGGCGAGGAGGCGGCGCCCCCCCTCCCCCACGGCAGCGAGTGCCGGGCCGCGGCAAAAGGAGGGCCCTGGCCGAGCTGCCTTCTGGGCTTGTGCTGCTCCCTAAGGCATTTTCCGTGGCACGTCCCAAACTCTTTAGATTTTTGATCCCTAAGAGCAGTGATGGTGGCTTGGAACATGAGTTGTGTCCCACTCCTTCCAGTAGGCAGCGGCATGCTCTCCCTGAAACTTTCCAGCCAGCTCCCTGATACAACATGGGAAGGTGCCGTTTGCTCGGCCCTTTGTGCCCTAGCTGACATGCAACCAAATACACTTCATACTTCCGGTTTAATACAAATTCTCTTTTATATAAATGCCTACTTTTGTATATATATATATTTTATACAAAATATAAATACACTTCAGGTTTCTTTGTAGATCACTTTGAATCTCTGCTTATATCCTGATGTAATGCACTGCTTTAGGCTGTTTTCAGGCTGCATTGCCATTTAGTCTTTTCTAATGCAATCTCCTCTGGGACTGGGACTGTAACACTGGATCTTTTCTAATGCAATCTCCTCTGGGACTGTAACACTCTGGGTAGCTGTTGCAGTCATTTAACACACAATTAATATGGTTATCTATAACTGTGATCCCAAAGTATTCATTAATGAAACTGCTGCTGCACAAAAGATGACAGCAATCATCAGTATGGAAGGGCCAGGTTATTTTAAAGGGGAATGAGAGAAAGAGATTGAAGTAACAAGGGAATACTGTATAGGAATACAAAATGCAGCACTAAGTGGGAACAAATACTTTAAAGTGCTTTCCATTGAATATTTACTTCAGTGGACCCAGCAGGTCTGTTTAACAGGGCTTATTGACACATGTAGAATTATTTAGGGGTTTTTTTGGTATATTATCACCTAAATGTTGTCTTGGGTTCAGTGCTTGAAGTTGTGGGAGCTGTCATGGCTCCTTCTGGGCCTTAGCACCACTGAAGTTGTTATCTCCAGGGAGCATGAGGGAGGTGAGCCCTGACTTGGATAGTTTGGAATAAGTTCACAAATTTTACTTCTGTTCCATAAAAAGGCAAAGAAAAGAGTAGGGTTTTTTTTAGGTGTGCTTGAGAACTTGAGGCAGCTAGCAGTGCCAAGACAGCAGTTTGTAATTTCCTGTGCTTTAACTGAAAATGACAAATAACACTCCATGTTGTATTACTGGAAGTAGTAAATGATAGTGAATATTGTATACTATACTTAAGTGTAGAGAAAAATTTTCTCACACCTTGGTACTTCTGTAATTCTTGTGCAATGATTGGCAGGGTATCCAAAGATATTTATGAAACTTCTGTGAAACTTCAGCATCACTTGTCCAGCTGCATGATGAATCTACATGCAAACCTGGAGGTTGTGTGTTGTCTCAGAAGTACTTGAAAACAATACTTTGATGAGTGATGCTGTCCTAGAAATCGACATGATTTGTAATTTAGAGATATCTCTGCTGCTCTCCTTTAGTGTCATTGTTGACTTTGTGTTTTGTCCTGTTTGGACCACATTGACTCCTAATGAGGCAGGTTCTGCTGTTTGTAGTTGGAAGAAACAATAAACCAGATCTATCTGCTGTATAATCTGATAAGATTGCTGTGAAAAAAGCAAAGGCTGTCTGAGTTGGGACTTGACTCTTGAGCTTTAACTGAGCTCCACATGAAGCATAAAATGTGTTTCTGTTTAAGTTGAAATCGTGGATTATCAGGATTTCATGGTAAAATGTCAATATATGGTAAAAAGACTGTTCTCATAGTTTTGGCAACTCTCTTGGGAAATTTGATCTAAGAAATTTGTATCTCAGAATATAGAATCACAAGAAAAAATGGATGAACTTGAGTGTAGCAGAGAGAACTTTCTGTATAATTGATAGATCTGACCTGAACTTGGCTTTGCCTTTTCTGCTCTTTCAGGAGAGACCAGGTTTCTGTGGAAATTTTCCCCTAGGCAGTTCACACAGACTGATAACTTGTCCTCAATAAAAAGTGAAGAGGGAAGATACTTTTTTATCATTTCTTCTTTATGGAGCCAGTGGAATAACACTTAAGGTGTTTGTGCTCAGAGAATAGGAGATAGAACATTTTGTGTTTTGGCTTTTTGGACCAAATTAAAGTCATTCGGTCAAAAAGCAAAGATTTTAGAAGCCTCCATATAGAGTGTGTGCTTCTTGCTTGTCTCTCAGGCTTCTTAACATTCTCTACCTAGTGCAAGTGGAAAATGCTCATTTTTTAAGCCTGTTTTACTCCAGAACTGTTTGATTACTTTGTTTGTCTGGGTCTAAATAAAGTTGATGTGAACTCATAACACAACTGTTGCGGCTTGGGAATAATAGTGCTCTGTCCAGTCAGTTGTTAGATTCCTGTTGGGTTTGATCTTGAGTGTTCCCAGTGTAAAGAAAATTGATTTATATTTTTGATCATTGAGTATGAATGATTTTTGGTTATCAATATAAACAGTTCTAGCTGTGAATTTTCACAGAGCTGGGAAAACCCTTGGCCTCTTGGATTTTCACAGTAAATCATACTTAGGATTTCATGAGCATTTTGAACTGATTAATTAATTTGCATTTTGTTTTGGCAAGATGTGATCCAGTTTTAATGATGGTTTCTGGAAAGTGTCTTAGGTGTATTGCACCCAGAGCCTGAAGTTTGTAGGTGATTTGTGCATTGTCACATTTAATTTAAAACTGATAGCTGGGCAATGTCACTGAGAATGCTGGGCAAAAAACTTCAGTACTGTCATCTATCCTGATGCTAGCAAGGCTGTCCAAGCTAGTTTGACTGAGGCAGCTGCATGTTTTTGGAAATGTGCAAGCTGTTGAGTGCACAAGTGTCCAGCTGTTGAAATAGTAAACTCAGTGGGAGAAGGGTGGAGAGGATAGGGAAAGGAATCCCTGTTCCTGTCTCAATAAACAATGAATAAAAACAGCTTGTGGTTGACATTTTCCTTTCTAGAGACAGTTAATGTTAGAAAATGGGTGGTTTTATTTTTTCCCCCCCTTATGATATTTCTCAACTTCATGAAAGTGAGAATCCCATCCAAATAATAGTTCATCAGTACGTTTACTTCTCTGGGGGTGGAGGGAATAATTTGTGAGTGCTTTCAATTTGCCCTGACCCTTCCTAGCAAACAATGGAGAGGCCCTGGACTTAAAGGCAGTGACTTTGCTCTTCAGTTGGTCTACCTTTTTGAGACACTAATTTTTTTCAATTATTTGGTTTTGTATTTGACTGTTTCTCTTAGGAGAACATTTTGTTTCCTGCTCAGTTTGTAACTGGCTAGAATGTTCCAAAGTCAGCAGTCTAGAGCCCTGGGTGAGGAGTTTGGGTCGTGCTTTAAGTCACTACCACTGCTCTTAGGGACAAAAAACCTTTAGAACTTGGAGTCCTGCCTGTCCCATGCTGGAGAGCACAAGAACCTTGATGAGAATCCTACCAGAATGCAATTCTGCTTCTTGGAAATTAAGGTAAATATTTCCCTCCGCTGTCCACTGTTGCTTGGTTGTTTTGGTTTTTTTCTTTTTTTTCCTCTCTAATAGTTTGCACCTCAGTCCTGTCAACTTTGTTTGAGAAAAAAAAAATTCCCTTATTTTCTAATGTTTATGTACATGAGAAAATAACATTTGTCTCACTCTTTTCCTATGCTACAGATGCAATGGATCAGCTTGAGCAGAGGGTAAATGAATTTTTTATGAATGCAAAGAAAAACAAACCTGAATGGAGAGAAGAACAAATGACATCAATCAAAAAAGTAAGGATATCATAAGAGTGGGTCAGATTTTTCTTTTGCAAACTAAGACAACCTTAGGAAAAAATAGTTTATGATTGATGGGAGATTTAAGTGTTCAGAACTGTGCCTTCCCTTGGGCTTTCATAGAGGTGGATGGAATTACCTTGGAGGAGAAAAGTGAGTGAAAGGTTTCTTTGATCAAGAATTTCTCTGAAGTTTTACTGAGCACTTGCTAGCATTTAAAAAAATGTAATCCTGAAATGGTGAGGAAGCCTGGTACTAAAATTGGAGCTCACATTTTTTCTTTCTGTTTGTGTGACATGAAGTTGTCCTTTCTTGTAGAGGATATTTTTCAAGCTTAGATTCAGCATTTCCTGTGATTTTCTGCCTATGTCCTTCTACACATTATTACACATATGTCTATTTATAGACATATGTATAACATGTATGTCTATACATATGTATTATACATATGTATACATTATGTATAATACATGTTGTATTTATGTATTATATATACATAAATACGTGTATCTATAATACATAAATATACATTATGGTCTAATTATACATATGGTCTATTTAGCTTGAGAAAGGGAGGAGTAAGAACATGAATATGAATGTGTTTTGTGTTATCCTTCAATACTTGAACATTAGTGATGGTATTTTTAGCAATGTAGTCCATCATTTTGTCAGGAGAAACTCCTTTGTAGTCTCCTACAGAGGCTACTTCAGCCCCTAATTTGGGTAAGGGTTGTTTTCTTCTTTAATTAATGCAAATAGGTTTTTAAATTCTAAGAAAAGAAAAAGGTCAGAGCTCTGACTCCACTAGAATAAATCAAAATTTTTCTGTTGACTTTAGTTTTCACGGAAGATACTACTCAGTGGAAATTGAGAATTAAAACGTAGTAAAATCTGTTCAAATCTAAAGTAAAAACATTTGAAAACATACCTTTAAAAAAAAGTTTTGTCTGTGAATATTCATTGGTTAGAGGAGGCTTTTGGATTGTTTTATTCAAATTATGTAGAATGCACTTATGAGTTAGAGGAACTTATTTAAAGTAATTTAAATTATATACAGTATTATCTCTGTTTAACTAGAGTGCTGGAAAGGCCTCCCCACAGGGTACTTCAGCATCATTTTTAAGAACAGTAGGATTTGTTGTGGTTCTGAAATAAAAGACACGCTCTTATTTTAAGTCCATGACATGATGCTGTGTAATATAAAATAAATCCAAGATTGTTTAATTTCATGTAACATTTCTTGCAGAAATCTAAATATCACTCTAGTAGGAGGTGTCTCCTTCTTGTAATTTGGCTTTTTCTAAGACAGAGAAAATAAATTAATATAAATTATATCTCTCATTAACAATTCAGATGATTGTTGTTTTCAGTAAAATTTCAGTCTTTCTGAAAACTGACTTAAATTTGTCCTTTTGACTTACATTTTGTGCTTCATAACAGCAGCTTAAACTTACTGAAATGAATTTTGTTACATTAATATTTAAAAAAAATTCTCTTTGTAACAGGATTATTATAAGGCTTTGGAAGATGCAGATGAAAAAGTGCAACTGGCTAATCAAATATATGATCTGGTAAGTGGACACAAGACTTGTGGTGAATCACCTAAATTTATGCCCTAAGAAGTTCTAAGCATTTTGATAAGCACTGCAGTCTTGCTGCAGTGTGCTGTACTTTTATGTTGTCTGCATACAGATGTTTTGCTGGTGAAAGAAACATTTAATATTTTATTGACTTTTAAGAATTTTGGGTAGTAAGTGTCACTTAAATATAAAACAGAGAAGTAGAATTGGAAATCATAAGATTTTAATGCATAGTTTCAGCCTGTTTAGGAGACTGGTTGAGGGAATCCCTTGTGATACAGTGTTGAGGAGTCTAGGAAGGCTGGACATTCTTCAGGAAGGAAATCTTAAATGTATAGGAGCAACCCATCCCCATCCCAAAACAGAAGCCAGCAGGGAAATCCAGCCTGGCTAAATACAGAGCTTTGGCTACTCTTCAATTTGGGGAAAAAAATAGAGTGTATCATCTTGGGAAGAATGGGCAGGCAACTCAAGAGGACTACAAGGATTTCATGAGGTTATGTGGGGAAATAATTACAAGGGCCAAAGCCCATGTCAAACTTTATATGGTTACTTCTGTGAAAGACAAAAAATATTTTTAAAAATATATCAGCAGTAAAAGAAGGGCTGTGGACAATATCTATCCTTTACTGGATACAGAGGTAAACATAGTGATGGAGGATGAAGAAAAGGCAGAGATACTTAATGCCTTCATTGCTGTAATATTTAATAACAAGACGTGTTGTTCTCAGGGTACTCAGCCCCTGAGCTGGAAGGAGTGGGTGAGGAGCAGAATGAAGTCCCCATAATCAAGGGAGATCAGCAACTTGCTGTGGCCACTTAGACACACAGAAGTCTGGGGCTGTGATGGGATCCTCCCCACTGAGGGAGATGGTGGAAAAGGTCACTGAGCCACTTTTGGGTATTTACCAGAGGTCCCAACTGACTGGAAATTAGCAATGTAATGCCTGTGTACAGCAAGGGTCAGAAAGAGCATCTAGGGAAGTAAGGGCCTGACTTCAGTGCTGGGGAAGGTCATGGAGCAGATCATCCTGAGTGTCATGACACAGCACAAGCAGGACAACCAGGGGATCAGGCCCAGGCACGTGGGTTTAGGAAAGGTGGTCTTGCTTGACTGACCTGATCTTCAATGTTGAAGTGACCTACTTAGTACTTGAGGGAAAGGCTGTGGATGTTGCCTTCCTGGACTTTAGTAAAGCCTTTGATGCTGTTTCCTACAGCACTCTCCTGGAGAAACTGGCTGCTCATGACTTGGGCAGGTGCACTGTTCATTGGCTGAAAAATGGGAGGGATGGCCAGACCCAGAGAGGGATGGCATGTGATTTAAAGTTTATTTATTTTACATTTCTCAAGAGAACAGGATGTGCAAGTCAGACTACACTCAAATATAGAAGACATAAAACAACTGCTTTAGTTTTACTACAACTAGGCAAAAGTTTGTTCCAGAAGTTGGAACTGCCCCTTCTCTTTTGCTTAGCCGGTAACTGGAAAATCTTCCCAGTCTTTAATAAAGATGGGTAAATTTTGCTGCATGATTACAGATGTAGAAAGTATTTGGAATGTAGTGTTTCTTTTCATGATAGTGAGTTGAGAATTTTTTTTTTAATTTTTAATACCCAAGAGCACATCATAGTTTGCTGAAACACCCAGGAGTCTCCACTTTCAGTTGAGACTCAGTACACACCAAATTTATTGGTGTTTATAGTGGCACACAAATTGCACACAGGTTTCAGTTTGGAACTTGCAATTTCCCCAGAGCAGCAGAATTTCAGCTGAATTCTATGTCATGTACTGTTCTTTCTCCTCCTCTTTAAGTTTGTATAACCAGAGCAAGTCTTCTTGTTCTTCATCTTTATTTCTGAAAAGAAGTGCCTTGGAGCTTTCCCTATGCCATTTTGGTGTTAACAGGAATGTTTCTGCTGAGGGAGGGAAATGGAGGTGACCAAGAAAATCCCTTCTGTGCATTATTGTGCTCAATGCTGCATGGCACAAATTACTGGAAGGGAAATACTTAGCAAGCCTGAGATTAAGGATGTAGATATTCATGTTCTAGAACTGGGTGCTATTTATTTTGCTTTGTCTAACAAACAGGTAGACCGTCATTTGAGAAAGTTGGACCAGGAACTCGCTAAATTTAAAATGGAACTTGAAGCAGATAATGCTGGAATTACAGAAATATTAGAGAGACGTAAGTATGCATGATTTTCTTTGAGAACTTGACAGACTTTCTGTCAAATTGCAGAATTAAAGTATCATACACTTGTTAGTGGCTGCCAGTATTTTCACCCATGTTTCAACCCACCTTGAAATTTTAGTTTAACCCACTCTCAAATTTTAGTTTCAATCTCAGTTTATACCAGTGAAATCAAAATACCTTTGAGTAAGTAGAATAATTTTTTTCACACAACTGTTGTCCTTGTGAATTGCTACAGTAAGATACATAGTTCTTTAAACCTGTTTTTAATGGTTGTAGGTACTCAGTCAGGTACTTTAGGTAAGCATACCACCTACCCAGTTGCAAGGGTAACATTTCTTCCTTGAACTGATTGCCACCAAACTAAAGAGAGTCATTATTTTAGTTTTCCCAGGACTTGGTGGTTTTCTATTTTAAAGGGGCAAGAATGGGTCTGTAATGGGCCAGTGAAGGTAAGAAACCTGCATGATAAATAAAACCATACTGGTATTTAGAATGTGAATAAAAATGTAAAGTTACAGCTTTTTTGCCAGCTTGGTGTAAAAGAATCTGTCTTTTTTGTACATATCAGCATTTAGACATCGAATTCAAATGCGAATGTGATAAATGTCTAAGCTGATGTAACTACTGTGATTATGGAGGCAGTGGTTGTCCTCATAGCCAAAGATAGTGAAAATTGACTTAAATCACTTGGGGATATTAGGAATAAGCATTCTGTTTTGGAACTTTTTGTGGCTGTGTTGTATAAACTGGGACTTTGGGGCTATTTTATTTGTAATTGCTATTACAAATAACAGGCACAATATAAGAAAACTCTAAATTAAGTGCTATTAATTAACTAGCAATTACAGAAAAGGACTAGTTGAGTTTATTTTAAATACCAGTTGGGTATTAGAATGTGTGCTCCCTTCTGTTGAACTATGTGTTTGGAGAGGTTGCTAGATAGGATTTCAAGAAATCAAAATAGAGAAACACTAGACTGCATGTTACATCTTTAAGGTTTGCTTGGTTTGAGGGTTTTGTTTCCTTGTTTGTTTTTAACTAAAGTTAAAAGTAGGAGACTTAATATTTTTGGCTTTCAGACTAAGTAAATACATAAGGTTGAAGTCCCACCAGATACATAAGGTTGAAGTCCCACCAGAGGGCAGCCTTTGGGCAAGTTCGTAACGTGATTGAAGTTCTCTCAGCCAAAATAGCTCCTTATGCTTTGATCCTCTTCTAGAATAATTATACTTAAACTTTTGTAATATTTAGGTATTACTCATGTGTTTCAGTGCTTTTTGAAAGCACTGGAAGAGGTAAAGAAATGCTGAGGCTAAAGATTTTGAAAAATGAATGTGAATTGCTTTCCTATTTTGTCTTCTGTGTAAATGTCAGTTGGTAGCTATTGCAACTACTTCAAAGTCTTTTTGTTAGAGATTGATGAACAAAATATTTTATATTGTTCCAAATTTATAGTCAGAGTCTCTACTATACTGTGATTATTTAGCCTCATCTTAATAACATGTTATTATAACATGTTATTAACATGTTAATAAATGTTATTCTTAGGCGTATACTTGGATTTATGCCTGTCTGACTTTTACCTTTTTTTTTGTACGGGGAGGATGGGGGTGGGGTTTGTTGTCGTTTTGTGGTTTTTTTTGTTTTGTTTTTATTTGTATTGTTGCTCTGTGTATTTTGGATGTTAAGAAAATTTGGATGATGATCTGCAGCCCTTTCTTTCAAATTTTAAATCATCTTGAAAGATGAAACTGCTGTTTTATTGAGTTTTGACTGAATGTGACAAGGTAGACTCAGTGGGACAAGATGCCTTGTTTATACAGTTTACATTGTTCAATCTTCAGTTCATGCTGGTGTAGATTGTCAGTACTTTTGGTGCAGCCATTCTGCAACTCATTTGATTAAGTAGCTTGGTGAGGGCAGTGTTGTTGGTTCTTATTTGCCTTGATTTTAAGTTCTTGATTTCAACAGTTGGACAGTAGCAGTTGTCAATTTTTATTTGAGAACTAATCTCACTGGTTCCTGGTTGTACTGTTGAAAGGGTTTCAACTCGAGCAAAAATTCTTCTGATTAAAATAAATATAACTGCATTGTGATTTTGTTAATATTTTAAAGATCCCTTTAGTATGTAAAAGTTAAAATGGTGCCAACTCTCAATTTTCGTGTCCTTCTTACCTCCCTCTTAGGATCTCTGGAGCTGGATACACCAGCACAGCCTGTGAATAACCATCACTCCCATTCTCACACTCCAGTAGAGAGTAAGTATTTGAAACTTATAAAGATGGCCACTTTTTATGTTTCCTTTTTTTTTTTTTTGAGTAGTATAAGGAAAGAGATAGTTCAGAACTTTTTTCCCTTCATCATTGCAAGGAGAAAACAAAGCATAATAAATACTGTCTGTTAAGAAGGGCACGAATGAAATAGGTTTTGCTGGTGGGAATTAGTTGAAAGTGCTAGCATAATTTGACTTTCAAGCTGAATAGATTTTACATTTCTCTTCATTTATTTAATTTAGAAAGGAAACACAATCCATCTTCTCACCATGGTACAACAGATCATGTTCCTGAAAAGAAGTTTAAATCTGAAGCTCTTCTATCTACCCTGACATCAGATGCTTCTAAAGAAAACACACCAGGTAATCCTAATTGTCTTTCATTTCATTGCTTTTTAGTCAGAAGAAGAGAAACTTAATTATATTTGTGAGTTAGTCTTCTGAAATCACAGAATCATGGAATAGGTAAGGTTGGAAGGGACCACAGTGCATCATCTGGTGCAGCCTCCCTGCTCAAGCAGGGTCATCCCAGAGCACATCCACAGCCTCTCTGGGCAACCCGTTCCTATGCAACCTGTCCTATGTGTGGCCACCCGCACAGAAGTTCTTCCTTATATTCAGGTGGAGCTCCCTGTGCATCCTCATAAGGGAGGTGCTCCAGTACCTTAATCATCTTTTTTCACTCTACTGGACCCACTCCAGGAACTCCATGTCTTGTACTGAGGAGCCCAGAACGGGACACAGCACTCCAGATTCAGCTTTGCTAGGGCCGCATGGAGGGTCAAGATCACCTCCCTCAACCTGCTGGCAATGCTTTTCCTAGTGCACCCCAGGACACCCTTGGCCTTCTCAGCCCCTAGGGAGCACTGCTAGGGACAGTTTGTTGTCAACCAGGACCTTGAGGTCCTTCTCCACAGGGTGGCTTTTCAGCAGGTCAGCCCACAGCCTGTGCTGTTGCCTGGGATTATTCCTCTCCAGGTGCACTGCACTTTCCTTTGTGGAATTTCTAGACCCTGTGCCATCAATAATGACCTTCTGGCATCCACCATTCAGCCAGTCCTCAATCAGAGGAATACTCCTTTCCCTGGGACTTTCAGTCATTTGAAACATGAGAAGTTGCAGGCATTCTTACTAATCTGTCTTCCATGAAGTGTGTCTGCTTTGTTGTCATTTAACAGCTGTTTCTTTTTATTTACACTTTGAGGAAGATAACAGCACAGTTTTGTTCAGCTAGTAATAGAAATATAAGAGATCAATGCATTATTTTCGGGAAGAAAATGCATACAACAATTTCCAAAGTAAGGGAAAGGAATTTTCACACCTTTTTTTTAAAGAGTTGGTCTGAAAATATTTTTTTTTCATGTGTTGTCTATTTCAAAAGAGAAGTATTTTTGTATATAGTGACTAAAAAAACCTAAACCTTTCTGTCTGTTCTCAATATTAAGGTGTTTCATAGTTTATTTTCTGAAAATAAAAGACTAAGGACTTACAGTACGTCAACTACCTCACTCATGTTTTAAGTCATTTCAGTCATATCTATTTCAGTTTTCTTTTGAAGAAACTTCACATGAGGTTGCAAATAAAATTCTGCAGCTGTCATTCTGCAGATGACCCTGGAAATTGTGTTGCATTAAAACTGACCTATAGTTTTTAGACTTAAGATTGTTGAAAGTTTTCCTTCAGAAACAGTATAGGTGTGTAATCATTCTTGCCCTCTTCTTGATGATTATAGTAGTGAGAATTGTTTCAATATAGGCTTATGTATAGCAGCTGCATCTGTTCTTTGATAGCTGAGTATCGTAGTGAGAGCTGTCATTCTGAAAGGACTCCTTGCACATGAGGATAGATAGGGAACAAACTCCTTTTTTTCTTTCCCCCATAAACAAATACTGGCTGTGTCTAATTACTTTTAAAACCTTTTTTCCAAATGATTAGACTGCTCTGATGCGTAAATGGAGTTCCTACTCTTTCACTGGTTGTCATATAACTTCTTAAAATGCAAAGGAATTTAGTTTCATTTTGAATTTCATAAATGTGTTCTATTCATCAAGGGTGTCGAAACAGTAATTCATCATCCTCTTCAAACAATGCATACAATACAAACTCTTCTCAACCATTGGCATCATATAACCTGGGCTCATTATCTTCAGGATCCGGGGCCGGTGCAATTACCATGGCAGCAGCTCAAGCAGTGCAAGCCACGGCACAGGTAATGTCAGAATATTCTTGTCATTCTGCCATCCGCTTGTGATTAAGAAGAAAGGCTAGTGACTGCTTTTTTTTTTTTTTTAAATCTGAATTCCCATGATCACTTTCAGCTGGTGTGATTCAGTTCTTATATCAGGATTTTATTAATATGCGACAGTTTCATCCTGTATAGCTTGCCTAAAGGGACAGCTTGTTTTCTGACTTTTCCTGGAAGATGTTCTCACACATTTAACTGCATTCTGTACATAATTTCATTAACAAGGTAACCTGTGCATATCATTAGCAGTTAGCAGCCTTATGTAGGAGCTTTACTGTGTAATCTGATACAGTATCAGCATTCCTTTTAGATGAAGGAGGGAAGACGAACATCCAGTCTAAAAGCCAGCTATGAAGCATTTAAGAACAATGATTTTCAGCTTGGAAGAGAATTTTCATTGTCCAGAGATTCAGCTGGATATTCATCATCAGCTCTGGCATCTACATTAACTCAGACGTTAAGTTCATCAACCACAGATTCACGAAGTGGCAGAAAAAGCAAGTAGGTTTTCTTACTTGTTGACTGCAATTATAACGTTGAAGACAGATGAGCTTTCTTTTAAAAGGTCATGGGCCATAATAGAAATACATTGTATTTAATATCTGTGGGGGGGAGTCAGCAGAAGGTAGTTACTGCCTCTTGGCCATTTTTGTGCAGGGCTGTGTTCTTTAGTCCTCCCACTTCTTTTTCTTTAAGCAAACTCACTCTATTGATTTGCTTTTTTATCTGAGATGCAGTCAAGTTTCTTCCCTCACTTTTCTATGTTTTGGAGAGATTTGATCTAACAGCAGTTGTTGGGAATTACTGTCCAAAGGTTTGTAGATGGTTTTGAAATAATCTGGAGATGTTTGATGCCAGTTTCAAGTAAACATGACACTTCCTAATGACTGACCATCTAGAACAGGAAATTAATTTCATTTCTGATTGAAGTGACGTTTTAAAACATTTTCAACAACACAATGTCACAACATATTCAACAATCAGAACTTGTACTTGAAAGAATTTGTCTCAAAATGCCCATCCTTTTAAATTGTCGTGAGTTTTTTTCTTCATTCAAATTTGTGTGTGTTCACAACTCAGTTAATAATGCTGTTTGAAAAGCATTTTTCATCTATGAATATCTTGGGTGTCAGGTCTGACCTATAAGCAAAAGCAGAGAAATTTTATTCTGGCACCATTCTTATGGAGTGATTGCTGATGCTTGAGTGGAGATTAACAGAGAGTCAGTCATCTTCAAAACAGTTATCTATTGTACATGACATATGACATTATTTATATGTAAATTCCTGTTTTATTGGTAACAGTTTTTATAAGGACTTGACACCAAGGCTATTGATGGAAAACTTTGTGAAGAAAAGCATTTGTTAAAGGCACTTGACAGTTTAGAGCTGTTAAATTCCATTGATTAGAACAGCTCATCCTGTGCTTGTAAGCTGGTGTGACTTGTTTCCTTTTCCAAGAGCATACAGTGGGTGCATGCCAGTGCTTGCAGTGGCTGAATGAAATGTGATGGTGAATGATAGCTTTGGGATTTACATACTGCTGTAGTTCAGAGTGAACAAAGTACTTGTTTAGTGATTCTTTCACTTGGCAGAAAATTAATCATCTATTCACTTTTCTTCCTTTTTTTTTCACTCTTCCTCAGAAACAACAACAAATCCTCAAGTCAGCAGTCCTCATCATCATCTTCTTCTTCCTCTTTATCATCATGTTCTTCTTCATCTGCGCTGGCACAAGAACTGTCTCAGCAAACAGCAGTAATACCAGAGTCTGATTCTAATAGCCAGGTTGATTGGACCTATGATCCAAATGAGCCACGTTACTGTATTTGTAATCAGGTAAGGATGGCCTCCAAATTGAAATACAACTACAGCTGCTGTTTTGATACAGCTGAACTTCCTTCTCTGAATGCTAATTTTGAAAAAACTATATTTTTACTCTTCTGGTCTGTTTTTGTTTACTTACTGGGGATATGAATAATGAACTGTTGAAGCTAAAAATAGTCAGTTTTTTAGGGATGTGATATCCTTGGAGAGTTTTAAATCTGGTAATGGAGACTACAGGAATAATTAAATTAAAAATTGAGGGGGGTCACAGTGAATTTAGTTTTTTATCTAATCTAAAATACACAGATGTAGGTTCTTTTGCATAAACAATTCTGGAAAATCAGTTCACTACAAACATTATGGTGTTTGGGTTGTGTAACAAAAGTAAAATGAAAATGTTGTTACTGCTGTTAATGAAAAAACTCCTCAAAGAAAGAAAATTGAATGTTGGCCCTTTCAAAATGTTAATTGCTAAGGGTTTTTTTCTTATTTTACTAGGTGTCCTATGGTGAAATGGTAGGCTGTGATAACCAAGATGTAAGTAACAAAGTTCAAAAGGTTCATGAGCGGCTTGCGCATATAACTATTGCTTGTGGGAGTTGCATTTTTTTTTGTTTGTTTTGAGTAGAGTTTTTTAGAGTAAAGTGCATATGATTTGAACCATCCTTCAGGAAACTTCTCGTATCTCCACCCAGCTTAGGTTCTTTTAGCAACCTGCAGCACTTGCTAGGTTCAAAAATGCCCTGCTTCAAAAGATCCTTTATTTCTGTGAATTTTCAGTTATTTCACTATTAATAAGAGTTGTCCTTTTCAAATAAAAAAGTTTTCAAAGAACAGTTGAATATAATCATGTATTTACTGGGATAACTACATTTAAACATAAGTGAGTGATAAGATTTCTTTGTCAAACTATTTCAAAGCACAACATACTTATTTTGCTCTGTAATGTGAGTCCATAGATTTTTTATCATTTTTCTTAGTGTACTGAGTGTATGTTGCAGTTCCTCACCTTTCCTTGTTTTGCCCTGTGACTTTTGTGAAATGCAGAATCTACGCTATCCTTTCGTGTTTCATTTTCATAGAATTGTATTTGTGATACACATTTTGAAAAAACCCCAAGTCACAAACCTTCTCTTTTAACTCCTTTTATAGTGCCCTATTGAGTGGTTCCACTATGGATGTGTTGGACTGACAGAAGCACCAAAAGGGAAGTGGTACTGTCCACAGTGTACAGCTGCAATGAAGAGAAGAGGGAGTAGACATAAATAAGTTTGTTCATCTGGAAAAAAATTGCATAATAAAGGTTTTATAAAGGACTTGGGAGGGGAGGGGCAACTCTCACCACACTTCCTTGCAACCACTGAAGAGTAACATAGCAATCATAGAATGGTATGGTTGGAAAGGACTGTAAAGATCTTCTAGTTCCAGCCCCCAGTCATAAGATCTTGAACTATTGGTTTTGCTAAGTCGTGTTTTAATATTGTAGGTAAATTATTTATGCACCTTGATGTGCTACAGATACTATTCCAGTGGGCCTTGGATTGTTCCAGTGGCAAGCATATGCAGATATTTGTACTATCAAACCATTTTCTCTAAGCAGTGGGCATTCTACAAGTACTCAATCTTCCAAAAATTCTGATAAGTCAAGATTTTAAATGTATGTTTTATATACAACAGATATATTCTGCTGCATGTACTGTACTCAAGAGCTGTTACGTAACACTATGTATATTAATAGTGCAAAAAGTCAGTGCTTCTGAAAGGAAAAAGAGACAGTGGTTTTTAAAATGCCTTTATAGCTTTGGTTCCTTATGAAACTTAATTCAGCAGGCTGAAGAAAATGGTTCTTGTATACAGCGGGCTGTTGTCCTTTAGGGTACTTGAGTATGTAAAAACAAAAATGCTGTAGAATACAACAAACTTGTGCCATTAGTCTTTATATGTTTCTGCTCCAGAGAAGGCAGGGGCCATAAGAAGAAAAAAAGGTGTTAAAGTGACGATAAATTTTTATACCAAATGTGTTTATTTTTTTGTGCAAGTAATCCTTTAAATTTGAATTGTATTAGGTGTAAAATAAAAGAACCTCAACTCCTCAGATTAATGTTTCCTGTACATTTGTCAAAAAAAAGGTCTCTCACTGAAATGGTTTCACAAACTTCCTTTTTTTTCTGGCTCTTTAATGCAGCAGCACTGAACAGAAAGATGGGGTTTATGCCTGTTTTTTCCTTCCTCCTTCTTTCCAGTATTAAGAAATATGCTTTCCCTTTGAAATAAAGATTTTACTTCAGCCCTGTGTTAGGCTGAAAGACTGTGGCTGTCATGTGGTAGCCTTCCAGACCCATGAAGAGAAGAGAGGGAGAGAAGGAAGCAGTTCCATTGCATGACCGTGCAAATAGTGTCAAGGGAATAAAAACAGATAGGTCCATTAGTAATAAGGAGTGTGTGCAGAGAATGAAAACAGGCTTCTGTCACACCATGTTTGTTCAAAATGAAAAAAGTAGGCATTTAAAGTCCATGAACTCAGGAAAAGTAGATGTGAAAGAAGGGAAATGTGATTATGGATGATAAATAGACTTTGGCAAAAGACTAGGATACAAGTTGGTGAAAATAAACAGCAAGGAGCAGTTAGCTAAAGTTCCCTTGAAACTGGGAACTCAACCCACTGTGTATGTATTTCTGTGGAAATCTCAGTCTAAAAAAACACTTGAAGACTAGAATATCTGGTTTTAAGTGAGGCTGTTGAGACAGTGGAGATAACAAAGTGTTTGTTTTGTGGGAAACTGGTGCCATGCTATAAATTGAAATTAAATAAGCAACCAGTAATCTAGACCCTCCTTAAACTGAATGTCTGTCCCAAAGGCTAAGAATTAAGTCCTTTGAGAATTAAGACTCTATACAGGAAAATCTCTCACTCAGCTGGTAACCATACCTAAAATGGTATCAAAACTACAAATAAAAATAAAACTTCAGTTTTAGGTGTAAATACTGGATCCCTGTTTCATTGTGAAATAGAAATTATTTTTTCATTGAGAAGTTAGAGAACTCACAAGAGGAAAAACGTGCCCTTATTAGTAAATTAGTATTTTGTGTCAAGGAAATGGAAATGGACAAATGTGAAAATGTGGGAAAAAATGCAATACATAGGTTAAAGATTTAGAACAATAAAACCTGTACATTTGTTTTCTAAATTGGAAGCCTGTGGTGAAGCTACCTGGTCAGGAGGTGATAAGACTGTAAAAGCACTGAGCAGTGTGGGTAGCTACATATTGAGAGAGTTCATGCCTCATGGTCAATAGAGTTGCTGGATGCTTCCCTAGGTGGACAAGCACAGGTGCAACATCTCTCATTAAAGCTTCACTGGTTGAAGAGGGCATCCCTTGACTGGGACATCCACACTCCTATTTGCAAAATATAATAATAAAAAGTAAAGGAATAAATTAGTAATATCTCCAACACGCACAGCTAAACAAGAGCAGGACTCTACTGCTCAAGAGTTACATAAGAGATCAGTTAAAGAGGCCTAAATGGGAACATAATATTTGCATGTATGTTGTTTTCTCAAAAAAAACCCAAAAATGGCAAGTGCTAAAAGCATCAGACCAATCTCATGACAGACTGTCTGATAAAGTGGAAAGCGTATTTAAACATTTTGCTAAAACAATGTAAATATAAAATAATATATAAAATAATACTTAGATTTCACTATATCTACAGCTGAGTCCTCTGAAGTAGGAAGTAAGGATCACTATGTAGGAAATGATTTGGAAGTTATTTAGTAATTTATGGAAACCCTAACTCGCTGTTCAGCAGCAGGTCACATAAGCGCTGAGAATGACTCAGCAAGAGATAAAAAATAAAACAATTTTACACCATGTAAATTGAAGGTGCAGTTAGGTCAGCATAGTGTAACATTCTGGTCTGCTCTGTTACAAACAGACAGAAAAGCTAGGAAAAGACTCAGTTGGAGGGTCAAAGCTGTATCATGACAACATAGCTGAGAAACAGATGAATTGTCTGGGACTCTTCTGGATGGGAAAGAGGCAGCTCCATGAGAATATAACAGGGATCTGAAAATTACGTAGTCATGTGAAAAGGTGTGTGTTTTGATAGAAGTGGTGGTATGGAGGTAGTCCAAAATGAAAAATGAGCAACTTTTTTTCACATGTGGCATGCTTACATTACAAAATGGGACATATAGCTAAGATCCCTGGATCAGAAACTCACTGAAGATTGATCACTAGAAGTCAAAAGTGTTTGTTGAGGGAATTGTTCCAGGTTGCCTCTGACAGTCCTAAAATCCTCTGGCACTCAATGAAAGCTATTTGATACCAGACACTATGTTAGACGACCTTCAGCATTAGGCAGTGTAGTTTCTTTTAGTTTCATGTCAATGTTACAGTATTTGGGTGAACTTTTAGGATGAGGGGTATTTGTAGTACCACAAACTGAGAACCAATGTACTAAGCACTCTAATGAAACAAAACACTCTATTCCTTGTAAGGAGTATTGTCTGTGTACACTGGGGAGCTGTAACTTTTGTTTATTCTAGATCTGGAATGAAAAAGGGGGAGAAAATACATTAATGGATACTAATCTGAAAATCCCACTAGGTTGTCTCTCTGAATAGTGAGGGATAATTTGCACTCTTCTTTACCAAACTTTGCAAAATGTTATTCACACACAGTAAATGTCAGAAATTCTGAGGTTTGTTTCACTTTTCTGTTCTGCCTCACCAGGGAGGTACTTTCCACTGCGAGCTGGCTTTTCTTGGCAAGTTTTTTTCATCTCCCTCCTCATTCTGCTGGAATGTCTGGGCCATACATTTTTCTTCTTCAAGAGAGACGGCCCTTACCTTGACAAAAGTGTTCAATTTTTTTAGACTAAAATGTCTAAGAAGCAGAATTGCAAGAGGAATAAGAATCTTGAGTTTTTACACTCTCTTCAGAGTATACATGAATAAAGTTAGGCCACACTGTAAGAACATAGTACCTTCAGTTTTGTTACTCCTCCCTATTTTGACTAAAATGCTCAGAGAATAATGTAACTAAAAGGAGAAAAATGTCACACTTCAGTGTATCTATGCCAATTTACAGCAATGTTCCTCTCAGCACTTTCAAATCTGTATCTTCCTTTCATACTCGTATAGTATTCAATAAAGACAAAAACAAGCAGCTTTTTCCTCTGGGTGAATCTTGTATTTCAGAGCTATTTGAATATGCAAAAGTTGTCAACAAGTTGCATGACTACTACTTTCAGGCTTGTCCTTCCATAGGTCTTATATTTTAAAACCCCCAGTAATTTCCTACATTAGTTCATTATATATAAAGTCTTGATTATAAACATTAATTTAACTGCATGCTGTGTTCTCTTTTTATAGGGATAAGAATAATTCCCTTATTTAGTCTAAAAAAATATATCCTGAAGGTATTGGAAAGAAAAACCCTAGCATATTACAGCTAGAATAGAGAAATACTTGTCTCATGACTGTACACAAACTCTACCTAGTGCAGTAGAAAATGATGAACAATGATAGGATCTACAACTGTGTTAATATTTTTAAAGACCTAATACCTATTTGTGCCTTATACCTTACATTATGAAGATTACTGTGCATTGTGGCAGCTCTATCCCTTTCTGAAAACTTATTTAGCAATGTTAAAGTCACTGAATCAAAGATGTTGGCGCACATCTGTGAAACTGGCTACTGCCAATTAGAAAAAGTTTTATTCAAGTTAAAGAAAACAATGAAGTGAACAATTATATATTTCTTTTAAAATATCAAATTTTTGAGGAATCTTTGTTGCTGAACAGATTCAGTTAGTTAGTTAGTTGACAGTTAATTTGGTTTTCCTATTTAAGGTGGTATAAGCCTTTTTTACTAGAAGAATAAATAACAGTTATACTGTATTTGCAAACATGAGGATTAGTGAAACAGACAGAGGGAGCAATGTGAAGATAATTTTATGTTTCTTCTGCCTTCAGAGCTTTAGCCTTTTAATTTCAAAGCAGGTTTTATGCTTTGTTTTCAGAAAAGGACATGTGGGATAGATGTTTAGATAAACTTTTCAAGCATGAGTGCAGTTAAGTGTTGGAAGGGGTCAGTCAGGGAAGTGCTTTGGAATTAAGGAATTCCTTTTTGTTAAATATATAGGAATAGTTTTCCCGGTGATAATAAAAGAAATTTTGTTTACAGCTCTGTTATCTTTTAATAAAAGTTACATTGTTATTAGGGGTTGGTGTGTATAAATAAGCGCTCATCATATTTTAAAATTGTTCTAATAAATGTTCAGTTATGTAGCTTGCATGACAAGATGACAAGCTAGAGTGTTTCTGCTGTGATGAATTCAGTTGGATATGCTCTTCTTGATTGAAATTATTTAAAAGTGTGTTTAATCTCTCTGTCATGTTTTTGGGGCTAGATTAATCTTGGGCTTTTAAAGAAAGCAGATTGTGTAGACTGAAGGATTAGCCAATAGTTGAATGAACTGGCCATAAAACGTGTTCCTTAGTTAGGTCTGGAAAACAAAACAGTTCAGTAGTATTGACCAACCCTTTAATTTAGGAAGGTATTCCATACATCCATGGATCTTGCTGGTAGCCTAATACTATTGGAATGGCTAAGGATCTGAGGAATAAGCAGTAGTTAAGGTAGGAGTTACTTTAATATTGCCCTACAAAAATCTCAAATTATGTGTTAATCATTTTAATCCAGAACAGAAATTGTCTTAGACAAAGACTTACAGTTTACGTGCTTTTGCACACAGAAGTGATGATTACCTTTGAGAATGTCACATCAGAGCAGTTCTGCCCATCTCTTCTATCACGTTGTTGGATGCCCTTGTAAGACATAAATACAATCTAAAATACACAATGGGAAAACATCTCAGTAAAGTTTTAGCCCAGGACAGGGAAATGAAAGATGACTCTCAAAAACAGAAAAGAGATGAAAATCCAACTTTAAGGTGCTTTTATTATCTGCATTAATGTTCAAGAATTTCCAGTGCTGAAGCACTTTTCACTTTCGAAGTGCTTCAGCACTTCCAAACACTCACCCACAGCTATTTACTTAAAGACTTCTGTTAAGAGGGTGAAAGG